AAAAAAAAAAATTGCTACACATTTCTATTTATTTAAATTAATATTTTCTATTTGATTTATTGGTGCTAACTTTTTTTTATACATCAGTATTTGTTAAATATAATCTTAAAAATGACAATAATTTCTTACATATATTGTAACTGTAATTTTCTTGTGTGTTTTTTACTGAATTCTTCAATAACTTCTTCTGGAGTAATATTAATATCCCTATGAATATTAAGAAGCATAAGTCCATTTAATCTATCCTCTCCTATTGTCGATCTCAAATATGTTTTTGTTCGTCGAAGTGAGGAAAATGTTCTTTCTGCGGTGCAAGTGGTAACTGGTATAACGCAAATAATTTTTAGCAATTCCTTTATATTAGGATAAAATTCAGATGCATGAGTCAAAGCTTCTATAGCAGTTTTAGGTTTATTTAATTGGGATTTTCAAAATTGTTTCCACAAAGTAACTTCACCTCTAACCTCTTCAATCGAGCTAATTAGATCGTCGATATAAAATTTGGCCGATTCAATAATTTTTTCGATGTCTGTATCTTCACGTAGGAAAAATGGTATTAAGTATTGTAAATACATAATCGTTTCATGTCCGTGACCTACAAATCTACTTTTGATATCTGATATTAAATAATCCAAAAATGGTAGGTATAAGGTCAAACGAAAATATTCTTTTGGGTCGTTGGTCAATATATTTTCTCGATTAATTTGTTTTAAACACGTTCGAGGTTTTTTGACTTCTATCTTATGTATATCAGCTGATGTTAATGATTTGGTATAAATCAAGTTAAAACTTTGAATATCGTTCTTTCTTTTATTTTCAAACTCGTCTACAACAGTTTTAACCATTTTCTATGATTGAAAATATTCTAAATTTTGATTTTGCAGTTGCTTTGAAAGAGGCAAAGTAATTGAAAATAATTCTGCCAATACTTGAAGTGTAATTAAAAATTCAAATTTCAACATAGAATTTAGTAAATTGTTAGCTTTACTAGAAGTGAGCGTAATTTCCTCATTAGAGTTTACAAGTTCATCCAAGCAATTTATAATAACATCGTATAATTCAAGAAATTGAAGAATTGCATCTTGTCGTTCGATCCAGCGTGTTTCACATACAGATTTAAGTCTAAATGATTTAGAATTTGGTAACACTTTCATTAATGTAGTTTTTAAAAGTAACATTCGTTTTGGTGATGCTCGAAAAAAAGTTATAACCTCTTGTATGTTACCAACAACATTCCGGATCAAAACTACAGAACACGCTTTTGATATACTTAAATTTAAACAATGTGAGGCACAATGTGTATATAATGCAAGATGCTGAATTTTTAGTATTTGAGCTTGTACGCCTTGATATTTTCCGGACATATTAGCACCTCCGTCATAGCCTTGCCCACGCAAATATTTTATATTAAGACCTAAGTCATCTAATTGGTGTAGTATTATTTTGGAAAGATTAAAACCAGATGCATTTTCAACAATAACTAATTTTAAGAAATCTTCTTGCACTTTATCATGAAAAACATAGCGAATGCACAAAACTAATTGTTCACTTGAACTTATGTCGGAAGTTTCATCAACTAGTATTGAGAAATATTTTGATTCTTTAACGGCATTTACAATTTTATGGAGAATTACACTAGCACAACAATCGATTAAATCGTTCTGTGTAGTTTTACTAATAAAACTAGCATTTTTTGGACAATTTTGAAGATGTTTTTTCAAAACATCATCACCTGAATCTATACGAAATTTCAAAAGCTCTCTAAAATTCCCTTCGTTGTTTACACTATTTTGAATCAAATCTCCATCGTCACGATGCCCACGTAACGGAAAGTTTTGACGACCACAAAGAAAAATTGTATTGATTATAGGGATAAGTTTTTTTCGATTTTCTTCAATTTGCTTTTGAACATTTAAATTTAATTTAACTGCTACAGACTTCTCAGCAGATTCTACAACATTTTTAAAATCATCTGCTTTGAGAATTGAAAATTTATGATAATCGTTAGTTGAATGTTTTTTAAACACTTCTAAAGCTTTTTTATACTTGTTTAATGGTTTTGTACATAATTGACCCAAACTTTCTTTACTTCTCCCCCCTACATCGCGAGAAAATAACACACAAGTTCTACAATAAACTCCTTCGTGTTTTTGACTATAAGATAACCACGGAAAATCGTTAAGCCACTTTAATTGAAATTTTCTTGAATCTTTGGGAAAGTTATATAAAATATCCGGCCTCCATGTTTTTGTCAATGCAATATATTTTTTATCATCATTTAACTTTGAACTTTGATTGTCAATAAAGTTACCAATATCTAATGCATCAAAAAATAGATTTTTTTGTACATTATTGTCAACAACATTTTGTAACTCTGCAGAATTATAGCTATCATCGACAGGTGCTAAATTATCATTACTAGTACTAGCAGAACTTACATTTTCTTCATTATTTACTTCAGAATGTTCAGTTTCAGATCGATCTTGAAATTCATTGGAACGAGTTTTCTTTAAAAAATATGACATTAATGATCTCTGTGTACTGACAGAACGATCACGTTTTCTGTGAGATTCAGTCAATTCAGAGTCATTTTTAGTACCCGACATCGTAAAATAGTTGTATAAAATATACACGTATATATTTTTTAAAATGAAGGATGTACGAAAACCGGGAGTAATAATAAAAAAAAGAAACCGTGTTATACTTGTATATTATTCGTCAGGCATTCACGAGCAAACTAATTGAGACACGAGTTTTCGATTTCAGCGAATGCCGAAATGTCGAATAGCGATTTAATAGATAAAATTGTAATAATAACTATCGGTGCTTTCCGCCGACGTCGCGTGTCGTTACATATATTCGAGTATATAAGATAACAACTAACAATTATTACCGTCGTATGTGACGACGATAACGGCATAACCGATATTATTTATTATTATTATTATT